TCTATCACTTGAGCCTCAGCCCCACTTCCAGCTTTTTCTGCTTATGTGGTGCTGAGGAATTGAACCCAGGGCCTCATGCATGTGAGGCAAGCACTCTTCCACTGAGCCACCTTCCCAGCCACCCCCACACTAGATTCTCGATGGGGGAACAAATATAACCTTCATGGGCATGTCAGGGAACTACTATGTCAACGTAGGCCACTACCCATCCAATAGCACAACTCTGAGTTTATCAAGGGATCAGTCCACTGTGGTACTGGGGACCCAGCCTGCAACACCAGAGCTTTTGTTGGATATTTCATATCCAAAGTGAATACCTAATGCATGAGGACCTGGGTTTCACCCCCAGACCACAAAAATAAGTAAGTTAAAAATTAATACCCTGGGCTGGGAAGGTGGCTCAGTGGTAGAGTCCTTGCCTTGCATGCATGAGGCCCTGGGTTCAATTCCTCAGCACCACATAAGCAAAAAAAGCTGGAAGTGGTGCTGTGGCTCAAGTGGTAGAGCACTAGCCTTGAGCTGAAGAGCTGAGGGACAGCCCCCAGGCCCAGAGTTCAGGCCCCACAACCGGACCCAAAAAAAAAAAATTAATACCCTATGAGAAGAGTTAATTATCCCCGTGACTACATTCCCAGTGAAAGTCTACTGGTCATTCATTTACCCATCCAAGAAACTTCTCTAGCAATGCTAGTTAACAAGAGTGCTGCCCCTGTGGTATACAGGGGCAGTGTTCATGCTTCCCTGTAGATTCACTCTTAATGATCCCCACTTAGTATTGCAGGGATCTAATAATATAGAAAGAGGAAGCTGAAGGCCTGGGCATGTGCCTTCGTGGTAGAGTGCTTGCCTAGCATGCATGAAGCCCTGGGTTCAATTCTTCAGTACCACATAAACAGAAAAAGCCGGAAGTGGCACTGTGGCTCAAGTGGTAGAGTGTTAGCCTTGAGCCTTGACCAAAAGCAGCTCAGGGACAGTGCCCAGGCCCTGAGTTCAAGTGCTAGGACTGGCAGAAAAAGATAAAAAGAAAATGCTGAGATGGAGAGAGGTTGCTTTTGTCTAACGTTCTCTGGGAACATCCTGGGACATGCCCAGTGCTGGGCACTTGGGACCAACAAGACAAGGACGGTGCCCTTGCCTGACACTCCTTAGGACTTACTGGCCTAGGGAGAGACGCAGACTTGTGAAATGACAGATAGTTCTGAATAGAGAAGGGAGGTTATAGTATAGATCCTGAGGTTTAGGGACAAAGGGAGCTAAGAGGCTGAGAATATGTGAGAGAATGAAAGAAAAAAAACTAAACTAAACCCTCCCACAACACCCTTTGGCCAAGGACAAGCCCCGTGCTCAGAGATGGAACTCAGCAGCAGTATGTGGGAGACAACCTCAGCAGCCTTAGAACCAACAATGAACAAAGGCTGCTGTCTCCCTGGGAATGGCAGAGATCTGACAACAGCCTTGCCTGTCAGCCCCTGCGTGCTTCATCAGTGTAGACATCCCTTCTGGACTTTGAAGCCTGGAGTGCCCTTCTTTAGCTGTCTCCCCAGATCAAATGAGCTGGAGGACTGCCATATCTCGACTTCACTTTGCACTAATCCAGACTCACAGCCAGCTCCGTAACTACCCGACTAAACCATCTGAGCAGAAGCAAAAATAATTCTCCTGAGCAAAACAGACAGCTCCAAGATGGGAACATTAACTCCTTGTTGCCTCTTCAAGGCAGAATGGAGCTGGGCGCCTGTAGCTCTTGTCTGCAGTTCTCGCTACTCAGGAGGAGGCTGAGATCTGAGAATACAGGTTCGAAGCCAGCCTGGGCAGGAAACTCCATGAGTCTTTTATCTCCAATTAACTACCATCGAACCAGAAGTGGCACTGTGCTCAAAATGGTAGCGTGCTGGCCCTGAAGGTTAAAAAAAAAAAAAAAAAAGCCCAAGGATAGCACCCAGGCCCTGAGTTCAAGTCCCACAATCAACCAAAAAAAAGGGGGGGAGGGACTGGATCTTGTTCTTCTTCCTTTTTCTTTTTTTTTGGGGGGGGGGTAGTTGTTAGTACTTGAGCTTGAACTAGCACTGTTTCTTGGCTTTTTTTTTTTGGGTCCGGTCATGGGGCCTAAACTCTGGGCCTGGGCTCTGTCCCTCAGCTCTTCAGCTCAAGGCTAGTGCTCTACCACTTGAGCCTCAGCGCCACTTCCGGCTTTTTTCTTTTTGCTTATGTGGTGCTGAGGAATCGAACCCAGGGCCTCATGCATGCAAGGCAAGGGCTCTACCACTGAGCCACCTTCCCAGCCCCTGTTTCTTGGCTTTTTGGCTCTACCATTTGAGCCACAGCTCTACTTTTAGCTTTTTGATGGTTGAGATAAGAGTCTTACAAACTTTCCTGGCTGGCTTTAAATCTTTTTTTTTTTTTTTTTGGTCCAGTCGTGGTGCCTGAAATCTGGGCCTGGGCGCTGTCCTCAGCTCTTCAGCTCAAGGCTAGTGCTCTACCACTTGAGCCCCAGCGCCACTTCTGGCTTTTTCTGCTTATACGGTACTGAGGAATCCAACCCAGGGCCTCATTCAGGCAAGGCAAGTACTCTACTACTGAGCCACCTTCTCAGCCCTCTTGTTCATTTTTAAGAAGCTTTCCAGAAGGGAGATTCTACTCCCTTCCATAATAAAGAGGCAAAGCTGATTTCTTTTTTCTTTTTTTGGTCGGTCGTGGGGCTCGAACTCTGGGCAAAGCTGATTTCTTACAGTTGGAAACAGGGACCGTATATTAATATCCAGAAAAGTAAACAATAGCTATTCATTTTCTGTCTTCTTAGGAAGTCAAGACAATGTTTTCCTTTTCCTTTTTTCTTTTTGTCAGAGACCGGGACTCAAACTTGGTCCCTGACACTTTCATCTATTGATTGACTCTACCAACTGAGCCAGGCCTCCAACCCTGAGACAATCCTAAAGAACAAGAATCTTCCCACCTCACAATCACCTTTTCTCTTACACTTAACCAAAACGCTGAGAAGTAATCATAAGCACCTCTTTAATTCACAGGATTATTCAGAAAACATCCCATCCTATCCTATATCCATAAGAAGCAGTAAGGATCCCAAGAAACCCTTGTCACAGAGACCGGCAGGACCAGGAGCCAGAAAAGATTAAAAATCTACATGAGTTCTACCATCTAGTTCCTTGCTGTGGTTTCCATGGAAATAGACATCTGCTCTAGGGAGAAAGAAAAGGTGGGGGGAGTAGCGTAAGTGCTTAAAAATGATCAGTGTTTTGAAAGATTAATTTTTTTCTGTCACAACATTAATAGTCAGAAATACGAGATTTTTGTGTGGCAATTCGTTGTATTTTTAAAAAATGCATTAAATGGGTGGGACCTTCCTCACGCAAACCTCCAAATCAAGTACAAAGACTTCAGGATAAAAGACTTAAGGGGTAGGTAGTAATAGATCTTTTAGCCTTGGAGTCTTTGTTCATTTGTGTGGTCTACTATTTGTCATTTTCAAAGGAGGTCTTATCCTTTCCTCTCCAGCTTTTTTTTTTTAAACTGATTTCTGAGAAAAATAGAAGGAAGCACCTGTCTTTCGTGAAGCTAAGTTGCTGAAAGAGTGGAGCCGTGATGCTGAATCTGAATCAATTCTGGTCCTACTCACATGTTACGTAAAATCCACTTAGAGTTGGCTGAGGGGGGAGGCCAACCCCACACAAGGGCAATTGTTGGGGAAAATGCCACAGCAAGCATATTTCAGACAACAATGCATTGCTAATTGTTGGCTTTTATGCGGTTTACTCCCTGTATGAAACAGTTTTCATTGTCCTGGGCACCTATTAATTGTATTTTATCTCTGGCACATCCCTAGTGGCTAACTAGACATGGAAGTCTTTTTTTAAAAATTAGGACTGTTGTTTCCAGAGAGTTGGTCTTATTTCTTAGATTTGGAAGACAGGATCTCAAACAGGTGCTTTGATCTCAAAACCCAGCCTCCTCCCTCAAGAGGTAGTAGGAGGTGGGATCTGGGCACTAGAGACATTTTGTTTATTTTTCCTCTTGTTGTGGGGGAAAGGACAACCTGTCGTTCTAAGACAGCTAAGGGTCAGACCAATTGTCGTCGTGCTTCCGCGGTGGTTCCATCCAGGCCAGCGGGAGCAATGACCTTGTGGCTCCTTTTGTTTTGATTCTTAAAAAGAGCCCAGCACGGCTTTGGGGAGCACGTGCTCTAAGAACAAAAGCGGCACTCAACTGTAGTCCGTACATCTATCTAGAACTAACTGCGACTGCTCTTCCTTCTCGGTCACGGCCAGCAGAGGCTTGGCAGAGCAGATGGAGTCTGAATTTAAGCCGAGTGGCTTTGTTAGACTAGAAATCAGATTCCAGAGCCTTGCCGTTTCCTGCACCGGCTCCTGGTCACCAGGTCGGGAAGCTGAGGACAGTGGGGGGAAGGCTCGCCGTTCAGGGAGCACTACGCCCGTGACCCTTTAGCGCTGAATGGTTAGGAGTGTGAAGATTGGGCATGCTGGTGTCTGGGTTGCGGGGAGGGGGGCAAGGCCACGGGACCGGAAGGCACACGGAATGGTACTGTCCGGTTTAAACATTTTAGATGACCGTGCGGGGGTGAGGCACCAGAGGGGACACTGTTGTCTATGTCTGAGACTGTTTGGGTGAAGCCGGGCAAAAGCTGGACAGTCTGGAAGAAGAATCCAGGAAGCCAAGGACTTAAGATCTAAGGTGGGGTAGGACCCCACCCCCACCCCCTCGGTTCCGTCCTGCCCTTTTCCAAGAGATGGAGAACCAATTCCGATTCATTCCTGAGGACCACGGCAACGCCCTCTTCGGCTCTAACGTCGTCACCCCAGTTATCCGCTCATCCCCGGAAAGACCCCACCCCACCCCAGGCGTCCCCACCCTTTGCATTGTCTTCTTGCCCTGCTAGCCCGGACTACATTTCCCGAGATGCTCCGGTACAGAAGGAGCGGGGGTCCGCCCTGACTATGGGCGTGGTCAGCACGTGCCGCTGCGCTCAGCCAATGGGGGGGCTCCGTGGGCAGGTCACGTGCCCCTGTTTGGCGCTTTTGTGCGCGGCCAGGTCTGTTGGTGCTCAGAGTGTGGCCAGGCGGCTCGGACGGAGCAGGTGTGTGCGGGAATCTCCGAGGAGGCTGCGACGGCGGGCTGGGGACTGACAGCGGGTGTCGGCGGGCGGGCGGGAGGGGCGGGCCCCCGAGAGCAGCCCCTCGTCGAGGGCTGCGGGCGGAGCCGCGGGCTGGGCGGGCGGGGGTCGCGGGGCTTTGTGTGTGGCTCAGGCGGAGCCTCGGCTTTGTCTTTGCTCCCAGGGGGCGCGGAAGTCCGGGGAGGGGGGCGCAGCTGGCTGGGTTGGTTTGGGGCGTCAGTTGGGGGTCTCCGTCAAGGAGACAATAGGGGGCGTGGGCCCTCGGGTGCCTCCCTCGCCCTTCAGGGGCGGCTCCTCCGGGGTCCCCATTGTTTGGAGGTCCCGAGCGCGCCCCCGCCGACTCAGGACTGGGCTGCGGGCGCCGAGCGCCGCGCCCCCTTCCTGCCTTCGTCCTCTTCGGTGGCTGAGGGGAGGCGCCCGCTGGGGCTTGGGTTTGAGATCGGGGGGTTGTGGACAGCTGGAGGGCGCGGGTGGGAGATAGGGACGACGAGGGAGGGGGCGAGTCGGCAGCGGGGCCATCGGCCGGCTGGTTTTCACCGGGCGTGCCCCACGCGGTGCTGCGGCGAGGGGGGTGGCGGCGGCAGCGGCCTCGAGGTGATTTTGGCGGGAGTTGGGGGGGGGGCCCGTCGGTGCGGGGAGAGCCTGGGAGGGGCGGAGTTACCGAATGGGACCGTTGGCCCCGCCCCGCCCTCCCCTACCCACGCGCGCGGGCTCCGGGGTGTTGCGAGTTCTCGGAGATTCGAAAAGGCGCGGGGAGGCAGGGGGCGGGGCCGGGCGCGGGAGCGCAGGGCGGGCTCTGATTGGCGGGGGTGCCTGCCCGCTTTGCTCCGCTTGGCCCGGGCCACGCCCAAGCTGGGGTCTGGTGCTGCGTTGGATGCTGTGCCCGAATGGACATTTTGCTGCCTCCGATTCCAGTTTCTAGCTGTTGGGAGCCTGTAGTTGTTTGCTTTTTTTTACTAGCTTAGGGGCTGCAAGAGCCATGATCTTGGTGGGGGGTGGTGGTTGTGGTGGTGGTGGAGGAAATTGACAGCTGAGCTTAGATTTTTTTTTCACAACAGAAGGCAGCAAATAGCGTAGTTTCAAAGCTGAGCTGGGTGTGGTGGTGCACGTCTTGTAATCCTAGCACTCCAGAGGTTGAGGCGGGAGGATTGAGAGTTCCAGGTCAACCTCGGCTACGTAGGAAAAAAAAAAATACCGTAGAGGTTCATAAAACACAGTTTTGCACGTTGTTGATCAAGGAATCTAAACCCCAGAAACAATAGGAGTTGAATGTTATTGGTTAATGACTACCTTGGGCGTTTTGTTATCTGCCGTGGCAGACACAGACAAAGCAGAGATGGGTATTTCATTTGCACAATGACCTGTAGGCAGTGTTTAAGATGGCTCCGATCTCACTGTTGGGTTGAATCTGGACTATTTTAGGGGAGGAAAAAAATTAGTTCGTGGTTGGGGGAATCCTTCAGCCTGGGGCTTAAGCTCCTTAAATTAAAAAAAAAAAAATCCAACTGTTGGTTTTTGAAAGAGCAGCCTCAACGATTTTCTGCAGCCAATGTCAAATCAATTCAAATCTATCTTAGCATTTTTAAGAAACACTGATAATTTTGTGAACGATTAGTGATCTCTTATTTCCACATTGTGAATTATCTAACATTGATTTATGTGGATGTTATTTGAGGTCCTTTTGTTTTGATGACATAGAAACGCAAAGAAATTGACTGCATGCTTTTGAAAATCATTTCCAGGGCTTTCTTTACCAGTGGATTTGTGTAGAATACACTGCCAGTCTCTTGTCTTCTATTCACCATGGCTTCTTCTGGTAGGTAATCTGTTTAGAAAAAGCTGTAATCTCAGTGGGTTTATGGTTTTAGAATAGGAGATGGCACAGGTCTTAAACTTTCAATCTGGTTCTCATTCCCGTCTTCCCAAAAAAACACCCTATTTTATGAATAAAAAAAATGATTATCACTTGAATGTAATGAGAGCTCATAATTGTTTCATAATTAGACGATTTGGCTTGGTACAAAGCAATATTGTGGAATTTGCACAATTCTATTGTTCATTAAGATGATTGTCAAATACAAATTCCTCAAAATGGTATTTACTAATCCAAAGATGTTGAGCTTTGTATGGGAGATGGTGTTTAAGTAGTAATTTCTTGACTCTAGCCACAACTGTATCAGTCCTAATTCTACTCATTAAATTGATTGGGTTTTTAGAAAATTATGAAACCATTTATTAGAATAGGTGAACCCTGTTTTTCTGAATTATCATAAATATCATCAACTCCAGATATTCAGGTGAAGGAACTGGAGAAGCGAGCCTCAGGCCAGGCTTTTGAGCTGATTCTCAGCCCTCGGTCAAAAGAATCTGTCCCTGATTTCCCCCTTTCCCCTCCAAAGAAGAAGGATCTTTCCCTGGAGGAAATTCAGAAGAAATTGGAAGCTGCAGAAGAAAGACGCAAGGTAAATGTGCCAATTCACAGGAAAGAGGGTATTCATTAATGTAATGGAGCAAACAGGTTTTAGTTCCATACAAGGAAGATAATAGATTATAGCCACCCTGTGATTGTAGCTATAAAAAGAATCACTTATGCCAATGACAGGAAGAATATATCGGCTGTCATTTATTGAACTGTTACATGCCAGTTCATTTTCTCACATTCTCCTTTTATATAATGTGTCTACAATATAGATGGTGCCTCAAATAATGGAAGCTAGGAGATTGTCTAGGGAATTTTAAGTCTTTGTCCAAAGTTCTTTAGCTTGTGTAAGTGTTGGAGCCAGAATTAAAGCCCATCCTTAGAACTAGCTCCTACTTCTTGTGCTTCCTCTTTAAAAATTAGAGCCTTTGTTGGTAGAGAATTGTCTCTAGTTTTGTTTTTGAGAGTTATATGTTAAAAACATCTTAAATTGCTAGATATTGTAGCCTTTTCTTGGCAAGTGTAACTAGTAGCTATCTTTAAAAAGAATCTAAAGAGTTGTATTTTAAAGTTGGGGAAACAAAGGCACAAGTGAAGTCACTTGTGCAGGTGAGCACTGCTGGTGTGCTCTGAATTCTCACACATACACACATACATACACACGTGTGTATGTATATGTGCATGTGTGCCAGTCCTGGGGTTTGAACTAAGGGCCTAGGCTCTGTCCCTGAGTTTTTTTTGCTCAAAGCCCAGGCTCTACCACTTGAGCCACAGCTTCACTTCCAGCTTTTTTTGGCTATAAATTAGAGATAAGAGTCTCACCAACTTTCCTGCCCAGGCTGACTTCAAACCTCAGTCCTTAGATCTCAGCCTCGTGAGTAGCTAGGATTATAGGTGTGACTCCCCAGCACCTGGCAGACAGACTCCATTTTAAGCTACTGTAAGCTACCTTGTACCTTTCACTGCTACTTGCTTTATATGTGCAGTGACCTTCCGCCAACTGGATCATTTGTCAGGAAGAATAGCAGTGTTCATATTGCTGCCTGCCCTTTTTTTTTTTTTTTTCCTGGTCCTGGGGCTTGGGGTGCTGTCCCTGAGCTTTTGCACTCTACCACTTGAGCCACAGCGCCACTTCCAGCTTTTTCTGAGTAATTTTATTGGAGATGAGATTCTCACAGATTTACCTGCCTGGGCTGGTTTCAAATTGTGATCCTCAGATTTCAGCCTTCTGAGTAGCTAGGGTTATAGGCAAGAGCCATATGTTCCCAGCTCTTGCCTGCTTTTATGTATAGTTTGAGTTCATGGAGGAGGAAGCTATCCAGCTGGGAGCTGGCAAAGGGAAGGTTTTTAAGAGTCACCACTGGCCCTCTGGTAATTACCTTGTACTTTACATAGTAACTGGCCAAATACAGTGAAACAACTATCTTTACGAGGGTGTCGTGCAAGAGAATTTGCCAGGCACGTGCTCTGCAGTTACACCAGCCACTTGATGCTGCCAAATACATCTCATCCTGTTTATCTGTTTATCTATTATCTCTAAAAATTTTACAATCAGCTAACTTTCTTGAGATAACTTTGGACATTAAATTAGCCAAACTCCTTCATAATAAAGTTCCATTCCTAAGTATTCTTGCGGGAAGTCATCTGGGTATCATTATAAAGTAAATCTTACAAGGATTTCCTTAACAGAAAATTGGACAAAAAGGTCTCTGAACCAATATGTGCAGTTTTCTAAAGTAAACACAAACACTGGGAAAAAGATGATTTCACATATTTTATAATAAGGATATTTTCAGTATTATTTCAAGGAACCCTAGTTTCAATTTAGATAGTAATTTTATATTACAGTGTTAATGTCAAAGACATTTCAGAGCGCCTAGCCTGTTAAACTTTATTCCAGTCCCACGAAGCTGAGGTCTTAAAGCAGCTTGCTGAGAAACGAGAGCATGAGAAAGAAGTGCTTCAGAAAGCAATAGAAGAGAACAACAATTTCAGCAAAATGGCGGAGGAGAAACTGACCCACAAGATGGAAGCTAACAAAGAAAACCGAGAGGCACAAATGGCTGCCAAATTGGAGCGTTTGCGAGAGAAGGTTAGATTCTTCCTTTGTGGAGGGGGCAAGAGTTTGCCGTTGGAGGCACCAGTGAATTGCCTTGCTAAAGGCATCTGGTGGCTTTTTGTCACCTATTTTGGGATATAGCACATGACATCAGAGGACTAGTAACTGCAGATGGTGTATTGCAGTAATTTCATCGCTGCTCACTCATTGGAAGAACAGTAGGAGACTTAGCCATTAGGTTCCTTAAGTGACCAAAGGTTTGCAGATGGTATCAGGTTTTGTGATTCTTGTGGGCTGTCATGTGTCCTGAGGCTGTGGTGGGCCCCTTGGGATTCAAGAATGACAGGCTTTTTTATTTGACTGATGGTAAATGCAATTCCTTTACAGGATAAGCACGTGGAAGAGGTGCGGAAGAACAAAGAGTCCAAAGATCCTGCTGATGAGACTGAAGCTGACTAATTTTCTTCTGAGAACTGACTTTCTCCCCTTCCCCTTCCTAAATATCCAAAGACTGTACTGGCCAGTGTCATTTTATTTTTTTTCCCTCCTGACAAATATTCTAGAAGCTGATGTAGGACTGTATAGGTAGATCAGACTGTAAGATGACGTTGTTTTAGGGGCTAAAGGGGAGAAACTAAAAGTGTTTTACTCTTTTTCTAAAGTGTTGGTCTTTTTAATGTAGCTATTTTTCTTGTTGCATCTTTTCTACTTCAGTACCCTTGGTGTACTGGGTTAATGGCTAGTACTGTATTGGCTCTGTGAAAACATTTGTGAAAAGAGTATGTAGTGGCTTCTTTTAAAGTGTTAGATGCTGAATATCTGTTCACTTTTCAATCCCAATCCTGTCCCGATTTTACCAGATGCTACTGTACTTGAATGGTTAATAAACTGCACAGTGCTGTTGGTGGCAGTGACTCCTTTCTGTTCAGGTGGTCACAAGCCTGGAGCCCCTACTGGTATGTCTTTGTTGCAGATGGGGACCTTGGGTCTGGTGGAGGAAGCTCACGGTGTTGCTCATTCGAGCAAGTTCTCAGCTGAGTCTCTTGCTCCAGACTCCTTTGCTTTGTCTTCTTCACAATCAGCACTTTGTGTTGATGCCTTGGCCCAGATCAGCTGTTACTGTATTCTTTCAGATGTTTATTTGCAAACAAGAACGTTTTTGTTCCTCTGTCCCTGTTAATAAGACAGATTAAAGGCACAAATGCTGTTTCTAGAGAACAGTTTAGGTGGATCCTTACAATCGTAGGATAATTGATGTTTGGTTTGCCTAATATTACAGGGTGGGGGTGCAACTTAATACTATCCTTTCATAGAAGCAATGACTTGAGAATGGAATACCATGACTCCTATGAAATAATAGAAATGGGGAAAAATTAATTTTTGGAGTAGCATTGACTTGGGTGGTTGAGATCTATAGATGATTGATCCCAGATCCAGAGATCTGTAGATGATTGATCTGGGATCCAGAGGTTGTGATACTTGCCACTGCCAACACATTCTCTAAATTTAGGGAAAAGCCCTGGTAACAGTCCTAAACTGTTTGGGAAATAGCCTTAATTTTATATGACTGTTTCTCAGAAGTTTTTGGAAGCCAGGCACCTACAGAAAAAGAATGTTTAGCAATACTACTTAGATTCAGTAAAGGCCACATATTGCTTATGCAGCTCTGGCTTGATCTTGGTTTGAGATTTATGAAACTTGGACAAGTAACCTACCTTTTGTGTTAGGATTGGGGTGGGGGGAAGAGCACAACAGTTGAGTATCTAGTTCTATATATAACAATAAGTTCTGAGCAGTATTAATATCTGAAGGAGAACAAGGTAAGGCTTGTGTGTAGGTTCATCTTGGAATCCCATTTCTGATAGGAGATGCTAAAGGTTGACATTGATGAGTTCTGAACAGATAGGACTCCAGTTAAAAGACAGAAGGCAGGAATCTGGAGTTAGGACAGCAGGTATCCTACAGATGGCAGTATGCTACTGTTTGTGTAGTTTAGTAGGGAAAGGAACAGAGCAGACAAAAACCTGGGGGAACGGTCAAAAATGGTCTCCCTAGCCAATCCTGCAGTCCCTTTTCTTACTATTAGAGGTAGTCTGTTAAGCCCCCACCTTACAGCAGCAATGTCCCGGGGAACTGAGAGGGATGTGCCTTATCCATGAACACAGAAGCTCTGGCTTGTTTCACCTCTGACCTTTGGAGTAGCACTAGGTCAAGGCTGACCTAGGTCTGATATCTACTTCTGCATTTGACTTGGGGGAGAGAGTAATGAGCATTCAATGAACTTCTGGGAGTGTTTTTTTTTGGGGGGGGGGCGGTGTTGCAATTTGTTTTTGCCAATGTTAGGAGCCAGACCCTGGGCATCACATGTGCTATGCAAGTAACTGGAGGCCATGTATAGTTCAGGCTTCTGGGGGGTGTCATGCCCTTTCCCTGGCTTGAGTGTTCTGCCTTTATCCAGTGTGGCAGCATCTCATTCAACTTGTCTCCCAAGGCCAGGGTGGTTGGGCTGCAACTTGGGATATGGACTGGCCCCTGGAGAAGGTGTTGGAGGGAAGCTAGGTTCTAAATCAGCATGTAACAAGCTCCCAGAAGGTGCTGTGCCTTGGCCTGTGCTTAGCATGGGACGATAATGGCTCTCAGCTCATGCTGTGCTTACTCTTGAAAGGGAGGCAGGCTGAGATCATCTTCCACTAGACCGTGAGCTTGACCCAACTAGATGTGCTCTGTGATGGGTGAAAAGAACAACCAAGAGGAACTTAGGTGGCCTGGAAAGTTGAAAGGACTTGAGCTAGTCCTTGGAGAAGTTGGGTGGGCCCAATTGAAACCCCAACAAAGCACTATGGAACCGAGCCTCTGTTGGAGCATGGGTAGAGGAGCTGAGGTAGTGGGTCGTAGTGGGGGCTCTTCCATTCCTCTATCTGCTGTGAACTGGGAAGCAGAGGCAGCTGGTCAGCCAGCAAAGCCATTTTAAAGAAGAAAGTGGAGCTAGTGAGCTGCTGGGACGGATACAGTAGAGACCATGGTGGGAACTGTTGGAGTGGCCCGAGTGGTGAGAGCAGGAGGTCCTGAGCTGGAGGCCACCATTGGGCTCCAAGGGGATAGAAGTGACTAGCTGTTCATGGAGGAACTGAGGAACTGGGATGTGTGCTGTTAAACCGGGGCAGCACTAGGTGGCCCTAGCAATCAATTGCTATTTATTCCTTACTTAGGGGCAGGTGTTACATAAATTTGTACAGAGAAATGTGTAGGTGGGCATGTAACTTGTGCCCCATCTTAAGCCAGCAAATCCCCCTCACTGAAGGGCTGGTGATAGAGAAGTTATTCTGTCCTCTGTGACTTTGACCTTGGATTACCCTTCTACCTGGACTGCACACCAGACTCAACCAGCTGGTTAAAGCTATAAATGTAGATACTACCTCCTTGTAACGCCTTCGTAGTTAGGCACGTGGCTGGCACTTGTGACCCGGAAGATCTTAGTTCAAGGACCACTTAGACAAAAAGTTTGAGACCCCAGCTCAACCAGTAAGTTTTTCTAAAAATAAAGCTGGGCACCAGTGGCTCATACCTGTAATCCTAGCTATTCAGGAGGCTGAGATCTAACAATCAAGGTTCCAAGCCTGCCCAGGCAGGAAAGTATGAGATTCTTATCTTCAATTAACCACCAGAAAACCCCAAGTGGCACTGTGACTCAAGGTGGTAGAGTACCTGCCTTGAGCAAAAGAGCTCAGGGACGGTTCCCAGGCCCTGAGTTCAAGCCCCATAACCAATGGAAAACAACAAAAATGGAGCTGTGATTCAAAAGTGCTAAAGTGCTAGCCTTGAGCAAAAGAACTCAGGGACAGTGCCCAGGCCCTGAGTTCAAGCAATTCAAGCCAGGCCCTGGTTGCTCATGCCTATAACCCTAGCTACTCAAGAACTGAGATTATGCATTGTAGAAAAATGGGTTATCTCCAGTTTACTAAAAAGCCTGAAGTAGAGCTTTGGCTCAAGTGACAGAACATAAGCCTTGAGCGAAAAAGCTAAGGTACAGAGCCCAGGCCCTGAGTTCAAGGCCCAGTACCAGTACCAAAACAAAAAACAACTCTCAGGCATATCCTTATTTTGGCATATCTTAGAAAAAGGTTTGTCCCCACTTTATAAACCTTGTTTCTGTCCATGTGTTTTCCTAGTGAAGAGGTCTGGTTGCTTAGTGTTTTCTTTGTCTAGGTAGGTCTCTGCTGTTTGCTACCAGATGAGTCTGGCTACGAATTCCATTGTCTGAATCAATAATATTCAATGTGATTCACTAGGAATAATTAGAAGATGAAAGCCAGGCCTTTTTTTTTTTTTGGTCCGGTCGTGGGGCCTGAACTCTGGGCCTGGGCGCTGTCCCTCAGCTCTTCAGCTCAAGGCTAGCGCTCTACCACTTGAGCCACAGCGCCACTTCTGGCTTTTTGTTCTTTTTGCTTATGTGGTGCTGAGGAATCGAACCCAGGGCCTCAGGCATGCAAGGTAAGCGCTCTACCACTGAGCCACCTTCCCAGCCCCAGGCCTTTTTTTTTTTTTCTGAGGTGGGCGGCATTGTGCTTGAACTCAGGACCTTGCACTTACGATGCAGCCTCCAGACCAAGCTTCATGCAGAGTAGAGTACTCCTTTAGATGAGGTTGGGACAGGCGCCCTGGAAGTTCTCTTTCAAATTCAAGACGGGTTAGATTGCACACACTGAGCTGAGGCCACATTATTCTTTTTTATTTTTTTCTTTTGGCCAGTCCTGGACCTTGAACTCAAGGCCTGGACACTGTCCTTGAGCTTATTTTTGCTCAAGGCAAACACTCTACCACTTGAACCATAGAGCCACTTCTGGCTTTTTCTGCTTATATGGTACTGAGGAATGAAACCCAGGGCTTCATGCATGCGAGGCAAGCACTCTACCACTAAGCCACCTTCCCAGCCCCTCTAAAGTTATTCTTTCTGAGGAGTTACCCCACTAAGGGGCTAGGAACATGACTGTAGGCCAAGGCTCCCGATGCCCACTTGAATCCAGGTAATATAGAAGGTCCCACACATCCCTGTGGAAGGCTTTCCATTAGAGTTATTCTGTCCTTTGAAGGGGCCATGGAAGATTTTCTGGCTCGTCTTGTACATGTTTCTAGATTTTGGTGGTGGTTGTGGTTTGGGGTTTCTGGGGTTTGAACTCATGGCCTTGCAATTTCACTCAGCTTTTTTTGCTCATGGCTAGCTAGTACTCTGTCACTTGAGTTCAGCATTTTTGCTAGTTAACTATAGATAAGAGTGCACATTTCTACCCAGGCTGTCTTCAAACCTCAGTCCTCAGATTTCAGCCTCTTGTAGCTAGGTTAGAAGAGTCAGGTGCCATTGGCCCACTCTGGAATCCTACTCAAGAGGCTGAGATGGAGAGGATTGAGATTTGAAGCCTGCTTAGAAAAGTTCACAAGACTCCATCTCCAATTAGCCAGCAAAAAGCCAGTCTGGAGGCATGGCTCAAGGAAGGGAGCCCCAGGGGAGCAAGCAAGCTGAGTAGCTTGAGGCTCTGAGTTCAAACTCCAGTACACAGACAACAAACAAAACAGGGTTTGGGAAGGCCTAATCTCTCATGGTGCGGTCCTTTTCTGGGCCACAAAGTCCTACTGAGAAGTAGGCTGCTGACACTGGATCCTGGGGAAGAAGAAATTGGGCAGAGCCAGGTGCTCGTGGCTCCTGCCTGTAATCCTTGCTACTTGGGCTGAGATCTGAGGATGACAATTGGAAGACAGCCCAGGCAGGAAAATCTGTGAGACTGGATCTCCAATTACCCACCAGAAAACCAGAAGTGGCACTGTGGCTCAAAGTGGTAGAGCCCTAGCCTTGAGCAGAACAGCTCAGGGACAGTGACTAGGCCCTAAGTTCAAGCTCCATAACCAAGTCACATGTACATACACACACACACAAACTGGGCACTTAGGGGTGTGGCTGAAGGCCTTGAGTTCACTTGAACTGCAAAACAATTGAAGAGCTGGTGGGAAGTGAGCCAGATGTTCCCTGGCTGCCAGCTCAGCAGATGGCAAGTGAGAGGACCTCTGTGGGCCTGGGCTTCCGCCCTGTAGCCCCTTCTTCCCTTCATGGGCAAAAAACAAAACTCCAGTTTTCATTGTGCCAGGAGGCGGGGGGGGGGGGGGGGGGCTCCCCATGCTAAGTACCAGGCCCTTTCTTTCCTGCCCTCCTAGCTCTCCATGCCACAGCAGCACCTAATTAGATGCAAGATCTCCCTGAATTTCTGAGAGACCTCTCAAGTTATACCTATTTTCCAGGTGAGAAATCAAGCAACTAAGACCAAGATTAGAAGATGTGCCCAAAGGCATGTATCTACCAAGGTTAGAGTCAAACCCCAAACTTAACCTCCATGTTCTCCTTCAGCGCCTCGTGACATGATGACGCAGCTTTTGTTTCTAGTGTCTTTCCAGCTGGAACAGTTCCGAGCAGGGACCATGCCTGCCGCATGGGTGTACCACTGTGTCTCCAGCTGAGCCTGCTTGTGGTGAGAGGTTAACACATGCTGAATTAATTAATTGAGAGGATGCTATCTCCCGTGGTCCACTTTGAGATCCAGCTTTGTCCTAGATGGACCCGGAAAGGAGTCAAAATTCTAGAAGCAAAGGATGGTAACCTAGTTTATAGACTGCCCTAAGGCACAAGCTCTGGTGCCCTGCAGCCTACATCAGTTGTCAGGTGCCTGTGGTTTAAATTATTAAATTAATTGACACTTCTATAGGAAATCTGGTTTTAGGCTTCTCAGAAGAGAGAGGGAAAAAAAGGTTAGATTTGGCAGCCCCACCCATAAGTCATTAGCCAGCCCCAGGCTGCTGCTGCCCCCTGGAGGCTGGACTTGTGCTCTGCAGCTTCTTGTTCTCTGGCTTACCCATTTTGCCCATCACCTGTCCTGCCTTGCCCCCTCTGGCCTTGTCCCTCCAAAGGCGGGGGTTTGCTGTCCCTGATGTCCCAAAGTAACTCCAACACTCCACCAGCTTTCTCAGGCTGGCCTTGAACTCATGGTCCTGCCTCAGCTTCCCAAGTGCTGGGATTTCATTCATCTGTTGGCACATATGACTGAAAATCTAACCAATACAAAAGGTATATAAAGCCAGGCACTGGGGACCAGACTATAATTCTAGCTACTCAGGAGACTGAAATCTGAGGATTTCAGTTTAAAGCCAGCCCAGGCCAGGAAAGTCCATGAGACTCTGATCTCTAATAAACCACCAGAAAACTGGAAGTAGAGCTGTGGCTCAAGTGGTAGAGCACCAACCTTGAGCAGAAGAGTGAAGGGACAGCACTCAGGCTATAAATTCAAACCCCAGTACTGGCACACAAAAAAAGAAAAAATACTGCTATGTCCAGATATCAGAGCATTGTTTTAGTTTGAGAAACTTGTCTAAATGTTGACTTTGATGGTTTGGGAGACAGGTGCCTCATCCGAGATCTTCATTACATTGTTTGCCTTCATTTCCCATGCTGCTGTGTAGAGGTTGGCCCTAGAGGATGGAGGTCTGAGGAACAGATGGATGAGCAGGTGCCCTTCAGGTAGACACTACAGAGCCTAGATTGGAGCCAGGCCTTGGGGCTCCCCCAGCAAGGCTGTGCTGGGTGCTGGGGCACATGGTTGGGTGTAAGGCAGAGAGGGTGTTCTGGCTAGAGCTACAGGTTTTCCTTCTGACTCAGCCAGGGAGGTGTTTGCTAATGATCTCAAGAAGGTCAGCTCTGTCTGGGAGGGCCCTCAGCCTCTTGGGTGGAGTCTACCCTCTTTGTTTATAGAGAAATTCAAGGCCACAGAAAGAACTTGCTGAAGTTGTGATGTCTCAAGTACAGCCCTTTCAAGTCCTGTGCTGAAGAAAGGCAGAGGTTTTTGGAATTTCACAGAATAGGACTCAAGTTCTGGCTATAGTAGCTCCATGGGGATCCTGGACATCTGTGCCCTCAAAGGCTGGGCGAATGTGGAGGTGGTGCTGGGTTTCAGGAAGCGCCACCCAGGCCCGACGCTGACTCCTGTCCAGCAATCTTCCTCCAGCTTCTTGGGGCAGCTGAGCCTGACATTTCCAGGAAGATAGATGCTATGCCCACCCCACAGAGGAGGAAAAGGGGTTCCCGACCCAAGGTGCCTGGCCTGGCCATGAACATCTCTCCCACCTACCCTTCTCTTTCCACATGATTGTCTGGGTGTCTTTGTTCTCTCTGGGATGCAAAACATTCATAAAATGGAAGGATTGGACTAGAAGAACTCAAAGCCCTTTTTAGGGGGAGGGTGCTGGAGTTTGGATGCCCTGAATTTCTATGTATTTTTCAACTGGGTGGGCCACCTCTAATGACTATGCCGTGAGTGTGTGTGTACACACGTGTGCGCACACGCACGCTGCACACATGAACACGTGCATGTTGCTTCTCTGAGTTTGGTTCCCTCCCCGCTGCCTCCTATTTCTCTAAGAGTTTTTGAGTGTTTACTATTTGTCACATGTTATATACACATTTGTGTATTCTATCTCTTATTTTTTTGTCCAAGTTTCAGTATCTTCTTTTGTTCATTGGCTGGTGCTCTACCACCTGAGCCACACCCTCTAACCCCATATCCTATCTTATTCCTCAAAAGCAGCCTTATGAAGTCAATACTCTTCTCATTCCAGTTTTCTTTTTGTTTTTTCTTTTTTTGTCAGTCATGGGTCTTGAACTCTGGGCCTGGCGCTGACCCTCAGCTCTTCAGCTCAAGGCTAGCACTCTACCACTTGAGCCACAGCGCCACTTCCTGTTTTCTGATGGTTTATTGGAGATGAGCCTCACTGATCTTCCTGCCTGGGCTGGCTTTGAACCGTGATCCTCAGATCAGCCTCCTGTGTAGCTAGGATTACAGGCGTGAGCCACCGGCACTTGGCTCATTCCATTTTTCTGAGTTTATAGGAAACAGGTGCTAAGAGGTGATGTTGTGTACCCACAATGTCCTGGTGGCTGCACTCAGTGAGTCCAGAGAGGCAGGTGCTGCTCCACTCCCTGCCACTGACTGCACCCCCAGAGCTGCAGCAGTTGTTGGGTGGTTGGGTTTAGATGTTGGTGGGGGTGAGGAAAGCCATGCTGGCAGTCACTCGGCCATTTCTCCTGTGCTGTCTCTGTGCCTTTCACAGGGCTTTTCATGATGCCATGTTGGGCCAAAGCATCAGGTTTACAAACTCTGGTTGGAGTCACTGTGAGGAGAGCCCAGGGACAAGTCTGCCATTTTCAATGGAAAACAAGTGGTGGTTACTGACCATGATGACCATGTATTTTGAATCTGGGTTTGCTGCACCTTTTATAGTGAGGCACCAACGGCTTACAAAATAAAGGTGTTGTAACTTACCCATTAAACAGATAAGAAGAATATATTAAGACTCTGCACAGACTCTGGGAAATGGATTACCCTCTCCAACTCAGCACACTAGATATGCAAACTCCTGCTTTGGGTGCTTGATGCCTCCTTCTGCAATAGGCAATGTGACACCTGAACACGTCTTTATTGTATGTGGGTTGTTCTCAGGTGGTAGTTTTTTACCCCAAGAATGAAAAGATTAGCTTGTTTTGTAATCCTAAAATGTGTAAGATTTTATTATTTAACTTGTGAGTCACAAGTCAGGACGTTAGTGCTAATTTATGTTTTAGAAGTAAAGTACAATTTGGGTTGTCCTATAATATCTTTGAATAAAATAAATAATATAGGGCTCTGCCCTCCCTTGCCAGTCCGTGCTCTGGGGATGAAACAGACTGTAGTAAAATCTGTAAACACTTATAAAGCTTACAGTTTTTTACAGCGAAGCTAGGTGTTGGCTGAGATCTGACAATCATAGTTTGAAGCCAGCAGAGGCCAGTCCAACAGATTCTTATCTCCAGTTAACCAGCAAAAAGTCAGAAGTAGAGGTATGGATCAAGTGGTAGAATGCCAGCTTTGAGTGAAAAAGCTAAAGGGTAGCACCCAGGCCCAGAGTTCAAGCCCCAGTACCGGCATGTGTGTGGGTGAGCACGTGTGTGCGTGCAAAGGCCCAGGGGCAGGAACTAGCAGGTGTGAGGAAGAAGCACCAGCCAAGCTCATGTTCCTGGAAGGTGAGCCAATGGGATCTGTGCAAGGAAGGTGATTGGGGTGCAGCCAGGCAGCCTGCAGGCCAGGGTGAGGGGTTTGCATGCAGAGAGCTTCAAGATGGGAGATCCTGGTATGTGTATAAGCAAACGATCCTCAGCCCCTGAAGAGGGAGGGGGGAGAGCAGGAGAGAGAGGGGTGAGGTGGAGATCCAGGCAAGGTTGCCATGAGTTGGGGAGGATTCCTGGGCTTCACTGCCTGAGGCAATCGAGGAACCAAACCCACCAAGGAGGCAGGAGAAGGAGCCAGGGTGGAGGCTGCAGGAAGTCATGGCTCCCCCGGCCATCATGGCTGACTTGGTGTGCTTCTTGGGACCCATCCCTTTCCTGATAAGGTTTTTCGTGAGGTCTTACCTCCTCTTACCTTCTTCTCTTTCCCCTCCTCATTTCCCTGCTACGATGGAGAACTGATGCTTAGAAGTACAACAGTCATCTAGGGATGGACAGGGCAGTGGTCACCTGGTGAGATGGCCGGAGCCATGCCCTTCATCCCCAGCGCCCAGCTCCCACTCGGTGAGGTGAGCTCGGCCTTTTACTTGTTTAAGCTCCTGTTTTGTGGCTTTTCATCACTTGGAGTCATGACCGATGGAGTCATATTGCAATTGAGATTTTCTTTGTGGTGTGTGTGTGTGTGTGTGTGTGTGTGTGTGTGTGTTGGCACAGTGTTTGAACTCAGGTCTTTGTGCTTACTAAGCTGGCACTATACCATCTGAGTCACAACCTCAGCTCTTTTGGCTCTGGTTATTTTTGAAACAAGTCTCACTTTGTGCCTGGGTTGACCTGGATTGAAATATTTTTGTTTGTTCTTCCTGTAGCTGGGATAAAAGGTGTGGTCCACCAAGCCTACCTATTGTTTGAGATGACATTTTTTTCAAACTTTTTGCCCAGATTAACCTTGAACTCTGATCCTCCTTTATCTCTGTCTTCCAAATAGCTAAGATTGCAGGCATGAACCACCACAACTGGCTAGATTTTTATTTTGGAGGATGATTTGAGGCCTAAGGAAGGAATAGGGGGTTATCTATATTTACCAAGTTAAAACAGAATTCAGTAATGATTCACTGATTCAAGAAATAGTTATTGGATGGGCTGGGAAGGTGGCTCAGTGGTAGAGTGCTTGCCTTGCATGCATGAGGCCCTGGATTCCATTCCTCAGCACCACATAAATAGAAAAAGCTGGAAGTGGCGCTGTGGCTCAAGCGGTAGAGCGCTCGCCTTGAGCTGAAGAACTGAAGGACAGCGCCTAGGCCCAGAGTTCAGGTCCACAACTGGCAAAAAAAAAAAAAAAAGAAAAGAAATAGTTATTGGAGCTGGGCGCCTGTGGCTCATACCTATAATCCTAGCTACTAAGGAGGCTGAAGTCTGAGGATCATGGTTCAAAGCCAGCCTGGCCAGGAAAGTCCATGAAACTCTTATCTCCAGTTAACCACCAGAAAACCAGAAGTGGTGCTGTGAGACAAGTAGTAGAGCACTCACTTGAGCTGAAGAGCTCAGGGACAGCGCCCAGGCCCAGAGTTCAAGCCTCACAACCAAAAAAGAATATTGGGAGTAGGGATATGACCTTAGTTTACTCTCCAGTACCAACAGACAATCCCCAATACCAAAAGAAAAAATACTTGAGGACCGACTATGTATCAGATACTATCCTAGAGGCTGAGAATTGAGCAGTGACTAAATAGACAAAATCCTTGCTCTAGAGGATTCTGCCTCTGGTATAAATAGCAGCTAGAACTGACTTCTGGGCTATTTACATTTTCATTTGACTCCAGAAGTGAACTGGGGTTGAAGTATGAGCAGGTGACAGGGTGGGTGTGGCTTGTCTGTTCCCACAGCCCTCCTCACCCTTCAATTAATCCTGTTAGCAACCAAAATGGGCAGTATTTCTTCAGGGTTTATAGGAGCCAAACGCTGGCTGGGCTGCATTCAGTGTGAGGGAGATATATTTGTTCCTTCCTTGTGTGTGTGTGTGTGTGTGTGTGTGAGTGTGTGTATACGTGTGTGTACGTACCAGGGTTTAAACTGATTTTTTTTTTTTTTTTTTGCCAGTTCTGGGGCTTAAACTCAGGGCCTGGGCACTGTCCCTGAGGTTCTTTTGCTCCAGGCTAGCACTCTTCCACTTGAGCCTTAGTGCCACTTCTGTTTATGTGGTACTGAGGAATCAAAAACCTGAGGCTTCATGCATGCTAGGCAAGCCCTTTACCACTGAGCCAGGTTCCTAGCCTCATGAACTCAGAACCTTGTGATTGTTCACATCTGACATTCTACCACCTGAGCCATGCCTAAGCCTGGTGTTTTGCTAGTCAATTGGAAATGGAGTCTAGTGAACATTTCTGCCTGGGGTTACTTCAAACTTCAATCCTCTGATCTCAACCTCAAGAGTAGTAAGGATTATGGTTGTGAGCCACCAGTGCCCAGCTTTATCCTAATAGTGGCTGTATTGGATTTGAACCTAGGGCTTTTGACTCTAGAGACTTCACTGCTTTTTTTTTTGAGGGGGGGTCCAGTTGTAGGGCCTAAACTCTGGGTCTGGGCGCTGTCCCTCAGCTCTTCAGCTCAAGGCTAGCACTCTACCACTTGAGCCACAGCGCCACTTCTGGCTTTTTTCTCTGCTTATGTGGTGCTGAGGAATCGAACCCAGGGCCTCATGCGTGCAAGGCAAGTGCTCCACCACTGAGCCACCTTCCCACCCCGAGACTTCACTACTTGTTGACTCCTTTTTTACCTAGAACTCTCTGATTTGATTGAACAACCCATGTCCTGACTCTGCTGTCTCCTTACCTGTGGCTTCCCCCTGTGTTTAAAGACCCCTCATCCCTCTTCCCAAGAAGATTTTTCTGTGCTGAACACTAGGGAGGCAGGACAGGAGATTAAGAAGCAGCACAATGCGTGCTCTGTGCTCGCTGGTGGAGTCACTAGAGGGACCAATACAAACACAGAAAGATCAACCAATCAGGGATGGGGTGGGACCAATCAAGGGGCTTCTGGGAGGCGTTGCCCTCTGAACTGACTACCAAACAGGAGTTGAGCAGATTAAATTAAAGCAGCTGTGGGTATTTCCAATAGATGCCACAGGTGGACGGGCCAGGAGGCGGTGTGGATGGAGCTGCTCGGGTGGGTGGAGGGAGGCAGGGAGGCTGGGGAAGGCCCAGATGAAGCGTCTGGACTTGGTTGAGGGGGCAGCAAAGGTGGACAGGAGTGGGTGGGGCCTGGCTAGATCTCTGTCTGGCAACTCTCTACATACTTATCTATGAAAGTAGGAATGAAAACCATAGGGTTCCATGAATGCGCCCTGCAGGGCGGAGTGGGCAGTAAGTGATCTGATGGCAGAAAGACAGGCCAGGCAGGTGATTGGACACAAGCCAGCCCCTCCCCTCTTCCTCCGCACTCCCTGCCTGGCCCCTGCTGCCCTTGGCTCGAGTGGCTACAGCAGCCTCCTCACAGGTCCTGTGGCTCCTGCCCCTGCCCTGTGCAGAGCCTGGCCCCATGGGATGCCAAGGGATTCTGGGCTCTGCCCAATGCATCCACCACTGCAGCTCCAGCAAACTCGAAGAAGAAGCCAGGAGGCTAGAGTCTGAGACTGTGCTTCAAAGAAAGCCCAGGAGATGCAGCAATGTCCGGTTCACCAGCAAAAAGCCAGCAATGGTGCTATGGCTCAAGTAATAGAATGTCAGCCTTAAGCAGAAAAAGCTAAGGAACAATGCCTAGGTCCTGAGTTCAAATCCCAGTACTGTATTGGCACACACACACACACACACACACACACACACACACACACACACACACATCAAAGAAGAAATGCACTTGGGAGTGGACAGTGGCTCTGGTGTGGAGCTCCGGCCGGGGTGGGGATGAGGCCCTGGGGCTCCTGATAACATGGAGCTGGTATGTGACTGGTGAGCTCAGGGCAAGAGCAGCGTCCCGACCCTGAATTGTGACATAGAAAATTCCAGCACCAGACACCATACAAGCCTCTTGTGTCTTGGAGGAATTTATATTCTGCTTCCCAAAGCTCTCCTGAAATCTGACCCAACAGGTAGAGGATGCGTGGGGCCAGGCTGAGAGCAGCAACGCCCCTGTGTGTACAGGGCAGAGGCGGGTCCTCTCTGTCTCTGTTCACATGGTCAGCTTTACTGAGATGGCTTCACCCAGGGCCGCTCCTGTGGCTCACACTGTACCCTGCTCCAGCCTTGGCCTTGGCTACTGTGGTTTGGGAAACAGCCTCAGGAAAATCCTGACAGCAAGAGCC